TAGATAGATAGATAGATAGATAGATAGATAGATAGATAGATAGATAGATACTTAGTTCTGAAACTCACTATGTAGATCAGGCTTCAGGCTCACAAAGATCTTCCTGCCTCTGCCTCCCAGTGCTGGAATAAAAGCTCAATGATTCAGTGATTTGGGTTGACTAGCTGGCCAACTTGCCCTGGGGAATCCCAGTCTCCACTTATCAAGGATGACAGGCTGGCCATCATGGATTGAGTGCTAGGAGTTTGTATCCATTCAGGCATCACCCCAGATCTGACTTAGGAATTTTTTTTTAACTTCCAAATGGAAACTTGAGCCCTTTAATTAGACTGGACTTGTAATCTCTATTTGATACTCTCCCTCTTTTTTTTTTTTTTTTTTTTTGCTTGTTTGCTTTATTTTGTTGTTATGGATGTTGCTGTTGTGAAACAGTCTCATGTAGCCTGGGCTACCCTTGAACTTGCTGTGTAAGTGAGGATGGCCCTGATCCTCCTACCTCAGCCTCTTGAATGCTGAGATTACATGATGACTCTTTTTGATGGGAAAATAAGTTTTTCTTTTTTAAAAAGAAAAGGGGTGGTGGTAGAATTGAGGCTGGAGTGATGTCTCACTGGGTAAAAGCTCTTGCCTCAAAAGCCTGATAACCTAAGATGGAACCCTGGAACCATGTAAGAAAGCTAGACACAGGAGTGGGCATCTGCAATCCCAGAATTCCTATGGTGAGACTGGAGGCAGAGACAGGATGAAAGGCAGGAACCTATTCTGCAAGTTGTCTTCTGCCCTCCACATACCCAGCATGAACTTACGTGTGCATGCACGCGTGAGGGCACACAAATACACACAAACACACACAGACAAATACAGAAAGGAAGGGAGGGAAGAAAGAAAGTAAACTCACCGGAGACCCATTTTCAGGGACAAAGAATCTTCTGTAGAGAGCAAATCCCATGTCTGACGCAACTAGAAGAGAAGACACACAGTGAAGCCCAGGATCTCCCCAGTGGGCGGAGTTTTGTTCCCCTCGACAATGTCTTGCTTTACTCTGCTGCTGTGCCAGTTGCCAGTCTCCATGCTCTCCCTCCATTATTTCTTTCGTTCTCATAAGAGCTTAATGAAGTGGACATTATCAGTAACCAAATATGGACGGATCAATCAAGCAGGCGACAGCACTGCTCTCAGGGTAGACATAAAGCAAAGAGCAGGCCAGATGGTCCTGACTTATGGAGGTGACTGTCCTGGTGGAAGACGGAGGTTTGTTGGCTGTAATACCAGCACTCAAGAGGCAGAGGCAGGCAGAACTCTGTGAGTTCGAGGCCAGCCTCATCCACAGACCAAGTTCCAGGCCAGCCAGGACTACAGAGTGATATCCCTATTTCAAAAACCAAGCAGACAAACAAAAGACAACAGTGTCCATGTTGTGCTGAATACCACCGTGAAAATAGAAAGAATTAGGGGTGTTAGGAATAGACTATTCTCTAAAATACTATCTTACTATCTATCTATCTATCTATCTATCTATCTATCTATTTATTTATTTTGGTTTTTCAATACAGAGTTTCTCTGTGTAGCCCTGGCTGTCCTGGAACTCACTCTGTAGACCAGGCTGGCCTCGAACTCAGAAATCTGCCTGCCTCTGCCTCCCAAGTGCTGGAATTAAAGGCATGCACCACCACTGCCTGGCTAAAATACTATTTTTGATTCTCTCTCTCTCTCTCTCTCTCTCTCTCTCTCTCTCTCTCTCTCTCT